CCCCCCCCCCCTCCACGTTTACAATGCTGGTTTGTAGTCCAATAACCATGGTTTGAACCAACATTGTGGTAGGGGGAGGGGGAGAGTTACCATTTCTAATGATCATGGACGTTGGTATTAACAACAAAATAAAATGGCTTTACAAAATAGTAAGTCAAGATGCGTTTGAACAAAATCTAAGGATATTATTTTCGTGATTGTCTAAATTTAAAGACAAAAATTGCGCGGCGATATTTGGAGACGCGGTGTATAAATCTTCATTAAAGCTCTAAAGCTTGTCAGATTCTACATGTTATATTGAATATTTACAAGTTTGCTTGATAAAAGTTCATAGTATTACAGAGAGATAATCAAGAAACTTACATCATACACTGTCTGCTATTACTTCAACGGGAAATCTCTTGAAATAATGCAATTATTCGTTGGGTAATCAAGACTCTTTCGTGCATATACTCAAGGTTTTAACGCAAGATTTAATAACTGATCCACTACTGCATACAATTAGCCTGTATTTACAAATCGTGATTCTGCGTAATAACGGATGTAAATAATCTTTGAAACTTAATAATTAAAAGTTAATAACTAACGCATTGTCGTCTATTTTATGAAAGATATGAGTTTCAATTTTTTTCAGTCAACCGATATGTTGGAGGTACGAGACATAACTGATTGCGGTGACAATTTCATTAACCTCTATATATTACATATAGGACAAATTACTGCATGTTACTACATGTTACTGTTCATGTTACTATAAGTTTACTACATTTTACCATATAATTATATAAATAAGTTCTTTGTATGTTACCACGTGTTACTGTACAATGCTATACTGCATTTGTTACTATCAATTTATTATATTTTATTACATAATTTCAACAAGTTACTACATGTTACTGCTGTTTTCTATAAAAATAGAAGTATATACTTTATATAAAAAACAGCAGTAACATGTAGTAACATGTCGAAATTTTCATCATGTTGCTATATGTTACTCCTGTACATTATATAAAGTATACATACTTTAATAATTATAAAAAAAAACATCAACAACTTGTTCAAATTATATAGTAAAATATCATAAATACATAGTAACATGGGCAGTAACATGTGCACATGTTAGTGCAGTAACAACGTGCAGTAACATGTGCACATGAAGATTATGTAGGAAAACCTGTGACCTGTTGGCAAATTAGGGGGTGTGACCCCCCCCCCCCCACCCACACCCCTTGGTTTTCAAGATGGCTGCCACTTCGAAATTTTAGTTGACGATGAAAACAGGCTTTTATTATATAATTTTTTTGTTTACATTGACTGATCTTTGATAAATTGTGAAGATAAATATATATAGATTTATATACGAAGAAAATATCCGAAGAAACAAACAAAGTAATCAAAATTTGTCCTCGGCGAAAAACAAGAGTCCTGATCTCTCGTTTATGAGATATCAATTCGACGAATTTGAAAATACTAAGGCTCGCAAAGTCCCGTTCGAGGAAGTGGATTATTCAATCTACAAAGCATCGTCAAATTGCATAGCATTTAAAACCTCGGAGAAAAGAATCGGAACGTCAAAACATTTTATTACTGATATCACGCTGCCAACTCTGAAATATTTCAACAGGACGACGAAGATTCAAATAATATCGCTAGATCACTGATAACATCATGGGAAGAACAGGCTGCTTATAATGACAACACTAAATGCGAGAAGATAACTCTGAGCCTAGCAATTCGAGTTAAAATCCAGCAAGAAAACATTGCTACCCTAAGACAGAAACCCTGAAGAATCCAGCACATTAATTTATTAACAAAAGAGCCGGAAAAAACATGTCTGAATAAATCCCAACCAACAACAACGGAGAGTTTCATCCCTACTTTTACCCCTGCTAAAACTGTATCAGAACCCTCACCAGAACCTCAAACAAACCAAAATCCAGCTCGTGAATGGATTTCAACTATCAAAAACAATACGGCAAACCTGGAATTAAACTTTGTGACATTCCAACAAAAAGTTATTAAATCTTTTGAAGATTTGAAAAATGAAAAGAAGGAAAAAGACAATTAATTAGAACAGCTGAAGAAAAGAATTTCATCACTGGAAGCATCAAATGAACTTTTGTTAAAGAAAAACACAAATCTTGTTGCCATCCTGAAAAAAAAACGACCATTGAGAAGAAACTCAAAAGTATTACTACCCAACCAGAAGAAAACCATGGAAAAAACACCAAACAACATGATAGCGAATCCTCTAGTATGATTATTGATGCTGGTAAAAATACTGAAAAAATGAGAAATACAGAGCTCCACCCCAAGACTGACCCTGATCTACCATCAACTGAAGATACAAACACCCCAATCACATTCTACACCCCAGTTGGCACAAGGAACCCAATCTTAATTCTTGAAGACGAAAAAACAGAGCAGAGACTTGATATTGATAAAATTCAAAGAGTTAATAAAGAAGAAGTAGCAACATCGACAAATAAAATAATTACAGAAAGCACCATCATCATATGTGTTTCCAATGGGCACAAATTAGATACAAAATTACTCGGCCCAGATACATCTTCAGCTTACATCAGATGTCAAATAATTGGAAGTGCTGAAAATATCCTGAAACAACATGACCTTAAAAATCCAAAAACAATTATTCTGCATTCAGGTACAAATGATATTGAAAAACGTTCAGTTGAAAGCATTTGTAAAGACACTCATTTACTTCTCTCCTTCATCAAATCGAAACACCCACATACCCGGATAATTCTCTCAAGCCTACTACCTCGTAACGACTATCTTCTTGAAAAAGCACAAAAACTTAACGAACAGCTAATCAAAATCTCCTCCGAATTCACCAACACTAACCTTGTAAAACATGATAACCTTTTCAGGTCTACTGCCATCCTTTACGACAAGAAACACCTCAACAGCAAAGGTGTGAAGATATTCGCAAAAAACCTGAAAGGTGCTTATTTTGGTACAACAAAGAAATACCAACCCACCAACAAATCATCCCACCAACAACCCTCAACAATGTATCATCCAGCCAAGAAAACACCTTCCCTCCCTTTCATCAACCATATCCTATCACCCCAACACTTCCACACTTCCAACATCCTTCGTCCCATCCAGCAGTCAGAACAAATGGCAATGCAAACCAATGGAATAGTTTAGTCAATTATAACATTCCAGAAAAGTTGACCGAGCTGGTAACCGTCCTTCAAAGGTTCCTTCAATAAAGTGAAATGGTCTGTGAGTATCCAAAACTGACTAACTCAATTATATTTTAACTTTCTATTAATATTATTTAGTATAATGTACTCACATGTAGGGTAATATAAGCCCATATGTGTGCACATACCTAAAGCTTTCCTCTTCCTTATTGCTCTAAAAATCAATTTATCCCAGATCAGTCAATGTTTTCAAAATTTATTTCTACAATATTAAATTGAGTATTAATGCATTCTAGGCTCTCTATTAGTGCTTGGAATATACATGGTTTAAAACATAAAACGCTTGGTGACAAACTAAGCAACATTGATTTTATAGAAAATGTTAAAGACCTTGATTTAATATTTCTGACTGAAACATGGTCTAACGAGATTAACAGCATTCCTGGTTTCGTGACATTATCCACCATCACGGCAACCCGGAAATCAAATTCGGCTTGTCGCTTGTCTGGCAGAATTTCACTTTTATTCAAAAAGGAATTTGAAAATGCTATCTTTATTGAAAAACAAACAAAAAATTTCCTGTGGTGTCGAATAGACAATACAATCTTAAACTCCACAAAAGATTTATTTATTTGTGGAGTCTACATTCCTCCAGAAAGATCATCCTACTTTGATGAGGATATATTTCATAACCTAGAAAATGATGTGGTATATTTTTCCAAAAAAGGAAACGTCACGCTGCTAGGGGACTTTAATGCTCGTACCAGCAAACTCGAAGATTTTGTTTCAAAGGAAGGAAACACTTTCATTAATGACATTACTGAAACCTCCTTAGAACCAAAAACTAGAGACAATTTTGATAGCTGTGTTAATAACCACGGTAAAAGTTTAATTGAGATTTGCAAAAACTGTAATCTGAGAATTTTAAATGGTAGGACTCTTGGTGATTCATTTGGAAAACCCACGTTTCATAATAAAAATGGAACTAGTGTGGTTGACTACACAATTTGTGACCAAGAACTAACCCAAACAATCGAAAACTTTGTTGTTAAACAACCAACATACTTATCTGACCATAGTCAAATAGTGACATGGATCAACAAAACATTACCTCAAAATTCTACCAACCACACAACTCTATCATCTA